GTGGCTGCCCTTTGTGAGGCCGCTGCGCTGCGGCAAGTCGACGTCGAGCCAGTGGGCGGTCGTCGCCAGCAGGAGCCGCGGGCCCGGCTTCGTCGAGGACGACGGCGGCGGCGACGGGCCGGCTAGCGGCGCAACTACTGCGGCGGCGGCGGCGGCGGCGGCGACGCCATCAACAGTCCCGTCTGGCTCGTTCGCGCAGCAGTCGCTCTCTCCCCCCAACGGGGACCATGTCGGCGGCAAGAGAAGGCGACTTGACGCGCGTCAGGGCAGGAGCCCCCAGACGGCGCCGGACCTGACAACGACCACGGCGGCTCTTCCACACCGAGGCAGCCCCTCGGGCAGTGGCTGCGGCGGGCTGGGGAACCTGGGATCCGGCCTCGACGCATACTGCATCCTGGACGATGGCGGGTTGGGCTGGACCGAGGCGGACATGGACGCACTTGTGCGGGAGTTTGTGCAGGTGAACCAAGATGCCGGCGACGCTGAGGTGGCGAGCAATGGGGGTCAGCCGTGGGGAGCATTCAACTTTTAGAGACGAGCATGCTTTGGCGAAGGAGGAAGGTCACCGTCTTGGCTTTGTTTTGGCATGGTCAAACAACAGAGTTCATTCACCTTGGGTCGGTGGATCTCCAAGCTGGGATTGGACCGTGGAGGGCGAAGGGATGACTCGCGCCAAGAAGCTGCGACGGAGCACAGCATCGTGTAACATGAAAGATAAACGGAAGGTGTGGTGCGCATCGTGACATGGCAAACAAAACATACAACAGAGATAAAGAAACCAATCACACAAATGCTCTCCCTCTCCTACATCGTCGCCCTCGTCGCCCTAACCATCTTCGCCTGGGGGCCCGTGGCGCGCCTCCTCGGCCTCGGCGACGGCAGCCCCGGATATACCGGGAGCGACAGCACCTCACCATCATCATCATCATCATCATCATCATCATCGCCCCGCAGCCGCCACCCGCGCCCGAACCTCAACGCGTCCCTCATCGCCCTCGAAGACGACGACGACGACGACGACGACGACGTCTTCTCCTCCTCCTCCACCACCACCACCTCCTGCCCGCCCGCCACCTACGCCACCCACGTGGTGTCGCGGGCGCCGCTGGTGCTGTACCTGGAAGGGTTCGTGTCGGCCGCCGAGCGCGCGCACCTGCTGTCCCTGGCGGCGGGCGCCTACGAGCCGTCGACGGTGACGGACGACGCCGGGACGCTGCGGCGCGACGAGTCGGTGCGCCTGTCGGACGTGGCCGTGGTCGAGCGCACCCCCGCCACGCGCTGCGTCGAGGCCCGCGCCCGCGCCCTGCAGGGCTGGCGCGACGAGCTGTGGCTCGAGCGCCTGCGCGTGCAGAGGTACGGCGTCGGGGGCAAGTATGGGCACCACTTTGACTGTGAGTTTTTTTTTTTGTGTCTGTAAAGTGTGTGATATGAGTGAGATGGTGTGAGGATATCAGATTGCTGATCATGAGCAAAAAAAAAAAAAGGGAATGGATGCCCGCCACGGCTACGGCCGCGTCAGCAGCATGATGGTCTGGCTCGACGACGGCAACGGCACCCTTGTCGGCGGCGGCACCGAGTTCCCGCTGCTGCGGCGGCCCGGCGCCGACGCGAGGTGGTGCCGATTCATCGAGTGTCCCGAGGAGGGCAACGATAAGGCGTCCAAACAGCAGCAGCCGCAGCGGGGCGTCGTCTTCAAGCCCGTCCTCGGCAACGCCGTCTACTGGGAAAACTTCCCGCCGGGCACCGTGGCCGGCCCGGGATACGACGAGTCGTGGCACGCCGGCCTGCCAGTCGAGGCGGGGGTCAAGGTCGGATTGAACATTTGGAGCTTGGGCAGGTTAGACTAGGTAGTTTGGAGGTAGAGCGCTGGCTTTATATAAGCAAATTGATCTTTTGGCGGACCACGTTTCCGAGGCCAGCACTTCTCATTTAGCTCAGGCAGGCGTAGAATAAGAAAGGCATACAAAAAGAGAAAACCCACTAACCAAATGCAGATAGGCGGAGGCGAGGAGTCGAACAACAAAATGCATAAAAAAGAAAGGTGCTCTCCCGCCGGGAATTGAACCCGGGTCTCGAGCGTTGTTGGTTGACAAGCTCACATACTAACCACTATACGACAGGAGATTGATGTTACGACTCATTGGTTGGCATATAGACGTGGTGTGGGGGGTGGAACTGGAAATCGCCTCCACTGTACTGCCACCTACCAAATCGAAATCACCGACGTTTTGTTCCATCGCACGCAAACTTGGTAATTCTTCTACATTCTGGTATTTAACGCTCATGATACGATTAAACCTAAACGCCCGTACTTTGTCCGTAGCAATATTTCTGAAGCAAAAAGAACCCTAACCTAAACATATACCGAACAATCAAACAGAAAAATGCTTTTAAACCCTCACTAACGCCTCCTCATCAGTCGTTCATCATCTCCGCTCGCCCCACCCAATCTAGTCAAACAGGTCGTCCTCGGAATTATCCATGAGCTCGTCCGCAGCGTCGTCCTCGTCCATGGCCATTTCGCTGTCCGCGTCGCTGTCCGAGTGGTTGGGCAGCACGACGATCTTGTTGTTGACGAGCTCCACGCGCGCGACCTCGCCGTCGCGGATGTTGCCCCGCAGGATGAGGATGGCCATCTTGTTGAGGAGCTCCTTCTCGATCACCCTCTGCAGCGGCCGCGCCCCGTACGCGGGCGAGTAGCCGGCGTTGCCCATGTAGTCCTTGGCCTCCTCCGACACGTCGATCGTGATGTCGCGGTCGTTGTCGTTCAGCCGCTTCTGGATCTCGTGGATGCGCAGGTCCACGATCTTGCGGATCTCGCGGCGCGTCAGCCTGTTGAAGATGACGGTCGACGAGATGCGGTTGAGGAACTCGGGGAGGAAGTAGTTGCGCAGCGCGTTGTTGACCAGCTCGCGCGTCGTCGGGTCGATCTTGCCGTCCTTGCCTGCCGGCCGCGCCAGGAACTCGGCACCCAGGTTGGACGTCATGACCACGATGCAGTTGCGCGCATCCACGACCCTGCCTTGGCCGTCCGTGATGCGCCCGTCGTCCATGAGCTGCAGGAGCACCGTGAGCACCTCCTTGGCAGCCTTCTCCACCTCGTCAAAGAGCAGGATCGAGAAAGGCTTCCGGCGCAGCCCCTCGGTGAGCTGCCCGCCCGCGTCGTGGCCCACGTATCCCGGCGGCGCACCGATAATGCGACTCAGCGAGTGCCGCTCCTGGTACTCGGACATGTCGAACCGGATCATCGCCTTGGGGTCGTCGAACAGGAACTCGGCAAGCGCCTTGGTGAGCAGCGTCTTACCGGTACCTGACGGTCCGCAGAAGAGGAAGCTCGGTGGCTGGTTGGGGTTGCTGAGGCCGGACCGCTGCAGCCGGATGGCGTTGGACACCGACTCGACCGCCTCCTTCTGTCCGACCACGATCTTGCCGAGAACCCTCTCCATGTGGATCAGCTTCTCCTTCTCCGTCGTCTTGAGTCGCGTCACCGGGATTCCCGTCCACCGCGCCACAATCTCGTTGATCTGGTCTGGGCCGACAACGTCGGTCACCATAGAACCGCCCATGTCGCCAGACTGCGCGCCCAGTGCAGCGTCCGCCGCCACCTTATCCTTCTCCAGCTGCTTGATGACAGACTCCTGCTCCGGGATGGCATAGTACTTGAGGTCGGCAGCGCGCGCATGGTCGCCCATTCTGCTGGCATCCTCCATCTTCACCTTGAGCTGCTCCAGCTTGACCTTGGCCTCCTGGATGTCCTTGCCGCGCTTCCTCTCGCTCTCGTATCTGTCCTTGAGCGGCCGGAGTTCTTCCTCGACGTTTTGGGCCTCTTGCTTGGCAAGCTGCAGACGGCCCTGTGATGCCGTGTCCTTCTCGCGTGACAAGGCGTGGATTTCAATCTTGAGCTGGCGGAGCCTCCGCTCGAGCGAGTCGATAATTTCGGGCTGGGATTCTCGCGCGACGCGGACCGCGGCTGCGGCCTCGTCGATAAGGTCGACTGCAGAGTCGGGCAGTCGCCTCGTCGTGAGGTAGCGCGCTGCCAGAGTTGCCGACGCCACGATGGCGCTGTCGGCGATGTTGACACCGTGGTGCACTTCGTACTTCTCCTTGAGACCACGGAGGATGGATATCGTCTCGGGAATCGACGGCTCCTTGACCAGAACCTGCTGGAAACGACGCTCAAAAGCGGCATCCTTCTCGATGTACTTTCGGTACTCGGCAAGCGTCGTCGCGCCGATACAGTGCAGTTGTCCACGGGCCAGCATGGGCTTCAGCAGGTTGGCCGCGTCCATGCCGCCCTCGCCCGAGGAACCGGCACCCATCAGCAGGTGGATTTCGTCGACAAAGAGGACAATCATGTCCTTGGACTCGGTAATCTCCTTCAGCACGCCCTTCATCCTCTCCTCGAACTCTCCTCGGTACTTGCTACCGGCTACCAGCGCGCCGACGTCGAGGGACAAGAGCTTGCAGGCTGCAAGGTTGTCGGGGACATCTGCGTTGACTATGCGCTGGGCGAGGCCCTCGACGACCGTGGTCTTGCCGACGCCGGGCTCACCAATAAGCACGGGGTTGTTCTTGGTTCGCCGGGACAGGATTCGGACCACCCTGCGGATCTCCTCCTCTCGGCCGATGACGGGGTCCATCTTTCCCTCGCGAGCCATGGCCGTCATGTCGATGGCGAATTTGGCCAGGTTCTCGTTCTCCTCCTCAGTGTCGGCCGTCTTGGAATCGACCCTCTTGGTGCCTCGGATGGCGGTGATGGCGTCCTGGAGCAGCTTGGGCTTGGGGATGTTGGCCTCCTTGAGGCAGTTCTGGAAGCTCGGATCCTCGGCCAGGGCTTGGATCAGGTGGTCCACGGCGATGAAGGAATCCTTCTGGACCTTTTGCAGCTCCATTGCCTTGCGGAGCACCGAGTTGAACGTGGGCGCCATCGCCACATTGTCTGGTGGGGGATCTTGACTGGGCAGCCGCACCAGCGTCTTCTTTAGTGCCCTGTCGAGCAGCTGGGGGTCACCTTGTGCGCGCTCGATGACTTGGCGCAGAAGAGTGTGTGCGTTGCCGCCCGGCGGGGGGTTCTGCTGGTCCTTGGACAGGTCCGGCGGGGGATCCAGCAGCGAGACGGCGAGGTGGACGGGGAGGAGCTGGAGGTGTGCGTGTTGCTCCGCCAGGGACATGGCGTCTTCCAACGCCTTCTTCGCCCTGTCGGTGAACTCCATCTTGTTATTCATCTTTGCTGTAGTTGCGTTTTGCCTGAGCGACGTGTATTAGGGGTTGAAATGTGGTTTTGTTGTTTTGTTGTTGGAGCGTGTTGGTCTTGAATCTTGAAGACCACTTCGTCAGATTGGGAGAAACCACTATGCGTGGGTGGTATAAGTGGGGTATGAGAATCGAAACGTTGGTTGTTGTCGTCCAAAGTAGCACAAGGAAACGCAGAGCGAGGGAAACGAGGTGGTAATTTATGCCCAGTCGCCAGTGGAGAAGACGGAATGCTGCCCAAGGAAAGCACGCCTGATGGAATGATGATGGCAGCTCGGGAGCAAACCTGGAAGTTCCAGCACCATCGCGGCCTTGCCCGAAGCCACTGGGCTCGAGCTCCCAAGTCGGGCTCCCAGATTCAGAACCCCCTCGAAGTTGCTGGATGCTTGACGTAGCTTCTGGGTGATGGAGCTTTTGATTGGCTAGAACTCGGGCGAGCCCCGCCTCACACACCGCGGGGCAGCTCTCGGAAACACCAGCCAACCAGGACGCGCGATAGGTCCAGAATCCATATCTGTGGCTTGACTCGATATAACCTGCGCCACTCCGCCGAGCAAGGGGCGGACAAACTCCAAATCAGGACAACATCGAAAAACACACAGTTTTCAACAACGATTTGCGGAGCCGAGTGGGATGGGAAAAGGTTGAAAAAAGTCCGATAGTAATTCAAAAGCTCTTGTTACTTCCCTTATTTTCTTTGGATTTCTTTAACCTAAGTTTATGGCAGGAAAGGTTGGCAAAACTACGATATCCGTTTGGTGTGAATTTAATTTTGTCCACCACTTGACAGCCCCCTGAAGGCTCAGCTTAGCGAACCCGCCACAGCGGTGGAGCTCGGATTTCCCATTGGCAGCACCCGCAAGGCTCTCTCAGCCGCGAGCTCCATCGCGAAATTTCTGGAGCGCCCACAGCAGGCCAACAGCCCACCATGAACACCACGCCCGTATCGGCGTCACTCCTACGCCTGTGCGCCGGCCTGTCGCGCATCAGCGTCCGCCATGGCTCTCACCTGGCGCGCTACAAGCAGCCGAGGCCAGAACTAGCCGGCTTCGAGCCCGGCCACGGCGAGAAGATATGGGTCTTCAACCACATCACCACGAACCAAATAGTGTACTCGACCAAGCCGCAGCTAGACGTAGGGCCCCCCTCTTTCTGCCTCGCCGGCTCCCGGTCTCGTCGGTATTGACACGCCTGTGCGCCACCCCTCGCAGTCAAACAAGGCCCTGAAGCAGCTGCCCTTCAACGGCAAGAAGACGAAGCCGGCGAAGCTGAGGAAGGACTACTGGAGGCCAATGGCCATCATAAGGTTCGAGTTGGGCGAGGGCGACATCGGCCGGTCCGTGTACCAGAAGCTGCGCGAGTTCAAGCGCCTGCACGAGCTCTCGTGGGGCTACCAGGCCGAGGAGCTCTACCGCATGAGCAAAAAGGACAGGGGCCAGGCGCTGAACAATCAAAAGGCCAACAGCGTCGCCGACATCGCCGCCGTGCTTGCCGGCGCAGGCAGGGGGAACCTGATGTGGAGGAAGCCGGCCGGCGAGCAGGCCGAGGGGACGGCGACCGAGCAGCAGAAACAGCAGCCGCCGGCCGGAGAACAGGCCAAGGAGACGGCGGCCGAGCAGCAGCAGCAGCAGCAGCCGCCGGCAGGAGAGCAGGCCGAGGAGGCGGCGATGGAGCGGCTGCTGCCGGCCGTGGACGGCGAGCAGGGCGCGGCGGCTGCCAGAAAGCCAGCACCGCCCTTCCCTGGCGCGATCCTAGCGCCGGCAAGGGTCTACTGGGCAACAGAGGAAGATGCGGCTTTTGCCTTGGCCTGGTCCCCAAATGTCGGACACAAGGTCGGACTGATTCTCGATCCCGTTCCCGTCGACGAGTTCACAGAGATCGAGGAGGAATCTCCAGAACCAAGCACCGACGAGAGTGCTGCACAAAGTCAGGAGAATTCTCGTGCCGCATAAGCGAGATCACGGGAGCGCATTTACTCGGAAAGCCCCCCTGAGGGTCAGAGGGTAATGAGTGAGAGTGCGGGAAAAGAGCCTGTATTCTACTATGCATTAAAGCCTGATCATGTACAACCAACCTACCCTATGAAAAACGACTGCGCATCATGCCCACGGATATCCTCCCTTTGCATGATTTCATGCCCCATTGCCCGTTATTACAACCTCTCGCTCCTCACACCTTGAGGGCGAACGACTTGAGATACTCATAATGCTCCACGTTGGCGTCGACACAGTCCCGGATGATCTTTTGGCCCTTCTCGCCGTACTTTTCGAGCCACTCCTTGTTGTCCGACTCGGTGGTTGCCGACTTCTGCACGCCATTTAATTTCCCTCCTGTTAGCGGTCTGGATACCAGGCAACCAACACGCTTCCTTGCGACACTCAACTTGTTTCCAAAAAGAGATAAGAAGAAAAAAAAGAGAAGAAACTTACACAGCCGTGAGTCCTCGGCTTGAGGTAGGTGCTGTTGATGACGTCGTCGTGGAACCCGTTCCACTTGGCAAACGCCCCGACGGCGTACCTCTGGTTCTCCTCGTCCTCCCACCTGAGCATGTCGGGGCTGTAGTCGATGCCGACCTCGCGGCAAAAGGCCTCGACGACGGCGGCGGGCTTGTCCAGCAGGTCGTCGGCGTCGACAACCGTGATGGTGACGGGGGAGGAATCAGAGCCAGAGCCGGAGTCGGAGTCGGAGTCGGAGGCGGAGTCCTCGCCGGCCCGCGCGGGGCCGACGACGCCCTCCCCGCGCAGGTAGTCGAAGAGCCAGCGCAGCTCCAGGTAGCCGGCCTCGCTCGGCATGAAGTCGACGAAGCCCGTCACCTCGCTCAGCGGCGGGATGGTGCAGCGGTAGTAGGACGGGATGGACCGCCGCGGGTGCCGGATCAGGAAGGTGAAGTGGAACTTGCGGAGCTCCTCCAGCGGCAGCACGGTCGGGTTCTCCAGCTTGTGGCCGGCGGTGCCGTTGGTGCCGTTGGTGCCGTTGGTGCCGTTGGTGCCGTTGGTGGTGCCGTTGGTGGTGCCGTTGGTGGTGCCGTTGGTGGTGCCATTCGTATGAGTGCCATTGGTATGAGCACCATTGGTGTGAGTACCGTTGCTGCCGTTCGTCACCCCGTTGGCCCCATTGACGCCATTGGCTCCGCTGGCATGACCCCGGGCCAGCGAGGGCGCGGCTGTCGCCGCCTTCCCGTCCGGCGGCGAGAGGTAATGGGTGATGTCCTTGATGAACAGCCTCTTGCCCTCCGGGACGGACGACTTGAGGCCGTCGAGCACGTCCCTGTACGTGACGCCCGAGAAGCCGCTCGACGCCCTAGCGGCCTCGTCGGCCTCGTACCTGGACGACAGCCTCTCGGGGCCAAAGTAGAAGGCGTCCCCGAACGGCTCGTGGGCGCACTCGAGGATGTCACGCCGGGTCATAAAGACCTGTGTAGACGGCGGAGGGATTTTCCAATCGTGTTAGCTCAGACCAATGTCCTTTTTTTTTCCTTTTTGACTTTCTCTGTCGGCTCCCGCACTTGGCAGGGCATATTGGCGATAACGCCATCGCATCCACTTGTGTCATGGTCCGCTTGCGCCATCAGGGGCCCCCAGATGATACCCCCTTCCCCAGGCACCCGAAAATAAGCTTATAAGACGGGACAGGGGGAAACAGAGCTCATGTGTATAAAAAGGACGAATCTCCTCCCTTTCTTCTCTCGCTCTCAATCCTTACTTACCCTCTCGAACGCGGTCGAGCAGGCGCGCGGGTGCGTCGCCACAAAGATTGGCCTGGTCGACGGCATGGCTGCGTTGGTTGCGTGTGGGTGCGTGGAATCCCCAACAAGGAGAGATGTTGTTGTTTCTCAAGAGCTTTGTGCGGCACACAAGAGCTTCCCCAATCCAAAGTTACGGAAAGCGACAGGAGAATGGGCGAGGATCGAAAACAGGTATAAAACTTCAGGATGCGACCGACGGCGACTCCAGGAAGCTCTAGGGAAGACGGAATGTTTTTGAAGGGGACGGTGCTGTTTTTCAGAGTTTTGCTAGAGCTTCCCCGGGGTCTGTGGCAAAATCAATATACTCGAACACTACCTACTACGGGCACCTCCCTTCGGGCCTTTTCCTCCCACACAACCTCAAAAGGCTGCTTTATTTTTTTTTCCCCATGTGCCCTTCCCTATCATCCTTTCCCTCCCTCCTCCCTTTTTTTCCGGGCCTTGTTCTGGTTCGCAGGGGTGGCACACATCCAATGACAGGGTTTGTGCTGTTCAGCTTCCACTTTTCATTGTCTCGCTTGTCGCATGTCACTCTTGCTCGAGGGGCGCCCTGCTGCGGAAAAAGAGGTACACTTGTCACTTGCCCCTTGGCGTCTGAAATCCGGTGCCTGTCTGGTTTGTTCCGGCCAAGTTCGGGTGGAAAAAACAGAAGTAGAGGCAGTGTTGCGCCGCAGAGAGCCGGCCCAACCTTCCAACTTCACCTGGCCTCAGATTCTATTGGCAGGATTTGTGCCAGGCAGACGAATAAGGGCGCCGCCCCGAAGCTTAGAGCTTTTACGAGAAAGTTACATACATTGCCTATCTCTGGCCAGTCTCTGGTCTCTACCCGTCCTTGTAGGAAGCTGTACGTGGGACACACACCTCCCGCAGACCGAGCGTGGGAAAAGCTACGGAGACACTGTGATACCCACGTACATCATGACGACAGGTGCGTGCCCCAATGTATACTTGTCACCCATCTGACAGGTACCGAGTAGCTTGGTTCTTGGCAGTAAAAAGCCCTCGTCTCCAAAAAATAAGTTTCCCAGCCCTCGGCTTCTTTTCTCCTCCCTCTGTTCTACATTCATACTTTTATCCCAAGCCCCCAAGCTCTCTCGCTCTTCAAAAGTGCCGTCCCTTCCGTAAAAAAAAAAAAAAGCTCAAACAGAAACAGCCAGGACTCGCGGAGATGGCCCTCTCGTCAGCGCCCCACAAGTCTCATGCAGCCCGAGCGGGCTATAACGTCACCACTGCATCAGGGGTGGAAAAGGAACCGGGACCCTGTTGCGGGCGCGTGGGGTTCGACGTGGATGTGGGTGTGACGGCCAAGGAATGAAGAAAGAACCAAGGAGAGCACAATGGCACAGCAAAAAAGACACCAAGATGTGCAATCCCTTCGTGGTTCCTCAGACTCTGTGGCTCCTCAGACCACTTTATTGCAGATGCCCTATCGGATGCCGCAAGACGGTCGGTGTGAGGATGGGGGGGATGTGATGCATGACGCCGCGGCACGTTTCTCTTGGGTCTGCATGCTCGCCGTGGGTTGCGTGCAAGCCAAGAGCAACTTGTCGAGCGTTTTGGGGGTCGAAAACCAAGGAACGCACGTGTCGACAGGCCAATTAGCCATTCGACAAAAATGGGCATTTTCGGGGCTGAGGAGAAATGGACGGTGCCTGCCTGCCGAATGCACGCAAAATTATGTAAAACGGGAAAAGGGACGAGCATGAAATGCATGGAAAAAGGTGAGTGAGTGTGGCCGAACTCCTAGTGGCCCCGAAACGGCGCCTAGCAGAAACATCTACCCTCCATCTGTGCGGCATCGTTCGTCACTGGTGAGACTGACAGAAGGAGAGGGTGCGTTGGCGAGAATTGGTGTATGCGTTTACAGCTTAGATGCCGGGTGTAACACACCCTGATACGCCCCAGGAAGAAGATGAAATAATAATAATTTGTATCGACTTTTGGCCCTCCCATCACGAGATAGATCAGTCTAATTGGTAGCATAAGGCGCAACGAATCACTCTTCGTCGTCACCCATCGTCGTGTCCGCCGCCGCAGCCGCCCGGGGCGAGGCACCGCCACCCTCGTCCTCGTCCTCGTCGCTCTCGTCCAGTACCCGGCCGGCCCTCCGGGACCGCTTCGGTCGCGACACCGCATCGGCGTCGTCGTCGTTGGCGCCGGCATCGCCGTCAACCTCCATACGGTCGTCTTCATCGTTGCTACGTCTGCGGCTCTTCTTCGAGCGACGTTGGCGGCTGCGGCTGCCTTCGTCGGCGTCAGAGTCCTCTGGAGTCGTGAGCCTATCATTCTCCAGATCCTTTTCAGCCCGGTCAAGAGCGTCGTAGTCGTCGTTGCCCTCCTCGTCGCTGTCCACAACGATCTCGGCCGACTTGTACTTGGCGTTCTCCTTCTTGGCCGTGAGCCGCCGCTTCTTCTTGGGCTGCCTCTCCTCGTCCGACTCCTCGTCTCCGCTCTTGTCCACCTTCTTCTTGCGCGACCGTCCACCGCCACTCCTGCCTGCCCGCGGCTCGCGCGGCTCTGACCGCGCCGCCGCCTTGCGCTTGCGTTTGACCTTCTCGCCCGTCTCCGAATCTGTCGTCATCTCCGCCGCCTCGCGAGCCCGCTCCGATGCCATCCGCTGCTCCGCCAGCTCCCGGTCTTTCGCCATGATGGCCTCGCGCTCCTTCTTGATCTTCTCCTGCCGCTCCCGCTCCGCATCCAGTGCCTTCTGCTTCTCCTCTTCTCGCCTCCTCAACTCCTCCTGTCGCTTCTTCTTGGCCGCCTCGAGCTTCTCCTTGTTCTTCTCCTCGTACTCCTTCTGGCTTGCGATGGCCCGCTCCAGCTGCTTCCTCTGCGTGTTGCGAGCCATGCTCGCACGCTGCTCCACGTCCTGTTTCGGGTAAGGAGTCTGCGGGTGCTTCGCAATCTCGTCCAGGGCCACAATCGCCGCCTCGAGACCCGCCGCCGCATCTTGCAGTTGCTCGAGCGAGCGCTGTGTTTCGCTGAGACCATTAATAGTGGTCGCGAGCTGGATCTGCACAAACGCAACGTTGAACTTGAAGTGAACTTGCTCAGGGGCGACATCGAGAGCCTTGAGAGAATGGTTATGGTTAGCGTCCACGTTGTTGTGTCAAAATGCTAGTCTATGCAAAGCGCACTCCAACTCACCTTCTTTGCGCATTCGAGAGCCATCTTGTACGCGTCGAGGTCGCGCTCCGAGCGAGCCTTGTTCAGCCAGGTTCTACCAAGGCATGCCAAGATGCTGGGGTCGTTTGCCTTTCCCTCCTTGGCGAGAGCCGCTTCGTAGTTTTCAATCGCCTTGGTGAACTGCCGCAGCTCGGCAAAGATGTGGCCGAGGTTTACATAGACCTGTGCGTCTTTGATTGTGTCGCGGACGCTCAGGAATATGGGTAGCGCGTTCTTGTGATCTTTCCTGTCCTCAACCAGGGCGATCGCAATTCCTTGCGCTGCGTATGCATTCTTGGGGTCCAACTGCAATGCCTTTTCGAAGAACTCGACCGCCCGGTTGTACGTGGCACTCCTCTTGGCCTTGTCCTGGTCCGTCTCGCGTCGCATCTCCCTGGCTGACGCCAGATACAGGTTGCCCATGCCAACAAGCGCGTAGCAGTCATGCTTGTCGTAGTGTTGCAGCGTGTGCCGGTAATGGCGGAGCTCGGGATCGTCGGCAATGTTGACCTGTCGTTTTCTCGAGTGAACCTTGCCAAGATACCAGCCATACAGCGCCCGCACTTCCAGGTCGGCCGGGTGCTCCTGGTAGAGCTTGGCGACAGCATCCGGGCCCTCCTTGTTGGGTTGCTTTCGCAGCTTCAAGTAGGCCATACGGGTCTTGGCGTCCGTATAGTCATCGTGGCGTTTGAGCAGGCCCTCGTATACCTCGATAGCCTGGTCGGAAAGGCCGCGAGCCTCGTAGCTTCGTCCCAAATTGTAGCTGATGGTTGTGACAAGGGCGTCCGTGTCCATCTGCTCGTCGCCCTCCTGAATGCGCATGCAGGCACCGAGCGCCGCCTCGAACATGTCACTGGCAGTCTCGTGCCTCTCGTTCTGCGAGTGGAAGCAGCCGATATTGTTGAGGAGCTGCGGTGGCAGGAGCTTCCGCACGGCGGCGCGAAGTTCTGCCTCGTCCTCGATGCCGGTTGGCCTGTCGGCCTCTGCGATCTGCTCCGTCTCCAGCTGCTCGACTTGTTGCAGGCACTGGAGAGCCTTGTCGGGATTGTCAACCTCATAGAGCCGAGCAAGGCTCAGAAGAACAGACGCATCGGGGGCCAGATTCTTCTTGGTGTCCTTCCAAGCAGCTCTCACGCCCTCCAACAGGCTGATTGCCTTCTTCACCTCTCCCGACTTGTCCTCCTTGACAGTGGCGTACTGATTCGCAAACACTTCCTCTGCGTAGAGAGTTCCTAGCAGTATCATGGCCTCATAGGTTCTGGACTGCTGGATCATCTTCTCGAGCCGAAGCTTGGCCTCGCCGAGGTCCTCCTTGACGACAGAAAGCTGCGCCGCGCCAAACTTGGCTGGTAAATAGCCACGCTCTGTCCCACCCCTGGCATCGTCGGACCGACGGTAGTAGTCGGCCGCCTTGTCCACATCCCCTTCATGATGCTCCTTGCGAGCAAGCAGATACCAACCGTCACTGGCAATGGCGTTGACATCGGTAAACTGGATCGCCTTGTGCGCAAGCGAATCGACGTTTTGGAAGGATTTCCTCGACAAGAAGTAGCCAGCAAAGGTGGCGCATGTGAGAGGGAGGTCCTTGCTGAGCTTGAAGGACTTTTGTGTGTACTCTGTCATAGCCTTCTTGTACAGCCTAATGAACTCTGGGCTATTGGTGGGGACTTGGCCGCTAGCATCCAGATAGTAGAGACCGAGCAAGATGTTGGCCGTCTTGGAATCTGGGTTGATCTCGAGACAACGCTCCCAGGCGGCCCTCGCGTCGTCCTTGTATCCTAGCTGCCAGAAGCAGGCTCCAATGCCGAGACGCGGGTCTGGGTCGACCATGTCTGGCATCCTCTGGAGCACGTCCTGGTAGCCAGCCAGAGCCTCAGCGTATTTCCCCAGAGAGAACAGAGCCCTCGACTTGCCCATGACGGCGAGCATATTCTTGCCCTGCGAGACTCTGATAGCGTCCTCAAAAGACTTGAGGGCTGAGCGTAGTAGGTCGGCCTTGGCTGCGTCGACAGGGCCGGACTGGCCAGGCTTCATGGGCACTTGCAGCGACGCACGGAGGAGGTAAAGAACTCCACGGGCGAGGAAGAGCGGAGGGAATGCAGGGTTGATTCGCGAGGCCTCGTTAAGGGTCGAGGTGGCAAGCTGCAGGTAGAACTCCTTGGTCTTCGCCTCGGAGGCGAGGGTACCCTCCGGGGCGAGGCGGGGAGCCTCACGACTCTTCCAGAGGTACATCCAGCACAGACAGCTGACGAGGCCAAGCTTCTCTCTCGGGTTCTGGGCCTGCATCGCGCTCCCACCGCGCGTCAAAACCTCGATGGCGCAGTCGATTTTGTGCAGCTTTGCATAGGCCAGCGCGACGGCCATCCAGTACGTGCGCGCGGCGCTCTCATTCTCGAAGAGATCGCAAAGATCGGTGGGGTCGTCGACAAGGTCCTCGAGGTTGATTTCGACGGCCTCGTCCTCGTCCTGGACGGGGACGTCGATGGCGGTTGGAACATCAGAGAAGCGCTTGCTGGTGTACTGCGTCGCAGCAGCGCCGCCATTAGCGCCGTTCTGGGTCGATTGTGACATCCTCGAGGATGGTTGTGGCGGTGACGGATTGGGGAGAGAGCGAGGGAGAGTCGAGGGACGTCGACGATCCTCTTGCTTCTGGCTATAACATGGGGGAGCTCCAGCAAACGTCAATTAAGCTTGGATGGCGTCGAAACAGAGAGCCAAGCTCATCAGATGGGCAGCCTAGCCGTCTGCCTGGGCGGCAGTTCGATTGGGATAGAGGAGGCTGCCACGAATGCGGTCGTTTGTGTTGTCGCGAGATTCGGATCCGGGCTGTTCAGATTATTTTCCAGACGAGGCTGCCCTGGCGCGTGGTCGGCATGCAATCCAGCGACGGAGGCGCGACCGGCCGCAAGCAACCCTGACGATCCCTGCACAGCGAAGCACCCCTGCGTAAGGAAAAGGAAAAAGGCTTGATTACATAACCGGCAGCCCACGAATCAGGCGACATTTTTCCCTCCCGCGCACACCTGCAGTGTTATCCACGCTCTGGAACGACGCAGCCCTTGGCGGACAAAGAGTCTCGCTCGCAGTAGAAAGCCTAGTACCCGAGGCCTCAATTGCACTTTGGACAGGGCGCACGTTGAAAATATCGCGTCTACATCATTGCCGAGGTCTGGAGCTTTGTTCGAGAGACACATACTACGAGTAAGACTATATTCCGTGGGCAAGTCTCACACTACTCGAGGGTTGAAAACGTCTATTTGCACGATGCAATTCAGACGAAGTTATTCGTGCCCGGCTTACCCTCGTGCCTTATGGTCTGCTCCCGTTTGCTATATCCGGACGATCAAGAAGGATAAAATGGGAAATCTGGGTTTTGGCGCTTCCACCTCCATTTATCGTGGCAGATCAGGTATTCCGTGGTACCCCGCCCCTTGTGAATGCTGGAAATTGGAATTGTAAAGGTTAGTATGGGAGATGGATCAAATCTATCAGAGGTGCCCCTCAAAGTCGGGTGACGGGAAAGTGAGGATGGATGCAGCAGTCGCCTGGCCTGAGCGAACACACATACCCATCCCAAATCCTTGGGCAGGACCGCTCTGCCGCTCCTTCCTCTCACATCCCCCACCATGTCACTTCAACCAAAACTTGTCTAGTAGTCTTGACGGTAGGCATCATTCGATTCTTCATCCGGCTTGCATCTCTGGATGGGACTACCACCATCTAGGGAGACCAAACCTATGGATCACCTCATCTGATCACTGCCAGTTCTTTCCGCCTTCTGCTCTCCCAACGCACCATCAGTAAAGCCTACACAACAGCCGCGACCATGTGCTCCAACTGGGAGTGTATGACCCAGGCAGCGCAGTTCGGCATCGTATTCAGCGCCGTATTCCCGGCTTTGACCATTACCTTCTTGTACTGGTACCTTGTATGGAAACAGAGACAGCCGCCTGCTAGCTCTGAGGATATCGAGGTGATCGAGATTGAGCTGCCTCCTCCAGGTCGAGTCGAAGAGGGAGCCAGACCGCGATGCAAGAAATCCGAGATACAAGATACTATTGCAAGCACCCATAACAACTTCTTCTTCTTTACCCAGCCGCAAGTCGCTCAGCCGCCACAGCCTCGCAGACAGATTGAGTACCATCTGGTACACGAAGATGAGCTCGAAGACCGTCTAGCAAATTCAGAGGACGACATCGAGAGCCAGCAGCCACCGCCACCGAGTCGTCGGAGAAAGTCCAAGAAGCCCAAGAAATCTCTGCCGCAACCACCAACACCAACTCTGCTTCCGCCATATGTCTATCAAGCCAGTCTTCCGGACAATAATGTCACCCCTCCAAGCACATCCACGCAACCTCATCAACGGAGACCGGCGTGGACAAACTACTATTGGAATCCCCCGCATTTGGCATGGCAGCAACAGCAGCGACAGCAGCAGAAATGGCAGCAGCAATGGCAACAGCACCAGCAGGCTCAGCCCAGCAATGTCCCCCAGGCATATCACCATATGGGCTCGTCCCAGCCTAGTCAGTCGCAGATGATGTATTGGTACCCCGTCGTACAGCAGCCTGCCAATCTTCATGGCCCCCGAGATATGCCAGCGCCGGTCCAGGTTCCTCAAGGTCGTCAAGCCTTCCCGCAGTCCATGAAACAACCTGTGCAGTCTGTCCATTCTCAACAGTTTGCTCAGCCCACTCAGTTTGCCCAGACTGCGCAGTTCGCTCAAACATCGCAACCGACCAACATCTCGCAGAATACCCAGCCGACGCAGTTCACTCAGCACATGGGGTTCACCCACCAAAGCCCCCACAGAGAGTCGAGGGCTGCGCAACGCCAACAAGACTTCATGGGACAGCAGCAAGCATCTAGCACTCATGCGACGACAGCATCGCCAGCAATGTCGAGGGATACGCGCACAAACCCCATCCATACCGACCAGCATGACGATGAACCACTCGTCCGGGGAGCATCTTGGTGGCGGAGGTTAATCTGGCGGCTCCCTGCAACAGGTAGAGCCTCGACTGTCGACGACTCCAGCACTTCAAGGAGTCGGTCCACACAGAGTTCGCCGAGCATGTCGCCTAGTCCTGCACCGCGGAGATCAAGGCGACGGTCCAGGTCCCGTGAGACTCGCCACCCAGACAGCCGTCAACACCGAGATCGCCGTCGTCAATGGGATGATCCAGCAGCTCCCGAGGGAAGCCAAGAAAGCTTATCCAGTCGCTCTCGCAGCCCTTCAAGAGTTCGGGCAAGGCCAGTCGTCAGGGACTCTAGGAGATACCGACGGAGATACTCCGAAAGCATAGAGAGTGATGCCGCTGCTCAGCCACAGCGTGGCCATTCTCGTGACTGGGCGCGCGAACGACGATCTCTGACCCCGGATTTCCCCGACTTGTCTTCGCTACCATCGCATACCACTCTCGATAGCGGAGAGCCGCCTCTATCGCCATCAATTGGCCACGACACAAATCAGGACAGAAGGGACCGGCACTACACGGAAACGTCTGTACCCCTTTCTCCTGATTCGAGAACCCAATCCCACACTCAAACCACGGAACCACAAGAGTCCATGGAAATCCCTCAGATATCCTTGAAACCTCCACAAGCAGCTGTTGCTCAGGACCATGTGGGCAGGCGCCGTCTTGACGAGACTGATCGACGAGTGTCTTTCGACGAGAACCCAGTGAGCCAATCTCACATCATTGAGCAGATATCCGAGACAACGGAGTCCATTCCCGGGGCCAGCGGACGGAACAAACTGTCCGATGCCGCACCGCGAACAAGCGCTCACCCCGAGGTCCCACCGGTTGAGCCACGAGTTTTATACGTAGAGGCCTCTCCCTCCGAACAGAGCGAAGCCGGTTCGCCTTCAGTGCCTTCAAAACAAGAAGTCGGCTCGCCGAGTGTGATGGTGGCCAAAGAAGAAGTCGCTGGTACCGCCTTGGCCAATGCCAGTCCCGAGTCCGGCAAGGATCAAATGTCTCGCCGCTCTAACCAAACGCAGAGTCCAGACCTCCAGCACTCGAGGTAAGCAGGGCGCCCGGACTAGAAAGTCAGGCTGTCGGACAAGTATCTAACTTAACTGAAAGTCGCAGGAGAAGCGTATTACGCCGGAGAGCAAGCGACGCTGATTCTTACGGATCGGAGGAGTCTTACATGCCTAGCCCACCGAAGCCGTTCGCTACCCAAACGTTCTCAGGACGCACATCAATCACAGGAAGGAGATTCGGGCGAGACAGCAAAGTGAGCGTCGCTGACAGTATGGAAGTCCAACTTTCCCCCGACGAGACTGTTTTCCCCGGGCACAAGATACCTCCAGCAAAGCGGACACGGAGAAGCGAGGCCCGTGGGAGTAGTTCGACGTTTGACCGGTTTCGTGGCTCCGAGGATGGCATACAACATGGATGAGTGTGTGCAGCGAATTAGCACAGGAACCGAGACAAGACCCCTTCACTGCACGGTCTGATATCTACGGAGCCGGTGGACTGTATGATGTATTTTCGCGTTCATGTGTGCAGGGCTGAGTTGGGTGTCTCGGGGCTGTCAGTGCCGGGGCATGGCTTTTGGCACAACGGTCCATGTCAGACGGAGCGCGAGCCTTGAGGGGAAAGAGACCAAAGATGAGAAAGGTTGAGTTATGCGGTTATGGGAGAAGGTGGGATGAAAAAGTAGAACATAGAAAAGGAAAATTGATGGAAATGAGAGTGAAAAAAAAAAATTGAAGGCAATTCACATGGACCTCCCCCCGCACACATGTTCGGGCCAACTGCATGAGCCAGGACATAGCTGCCCCACACTTGCACTGCCAGGGACAGACCATGGTACGTCGTCATCCTTGGCGTGGCGCCCCAACCACGAGCTGCCTGCGAGCTGCGCGGCTCCCAAGCCTCCGCCCGCTCACAACGCCTCGACCAAACAACAACCTCGCGCATCACTCAAATCCACCTGCTGACTCCCTGGCCTTTCGGGCATCCAACACGCAAACCAGCCAGTACCTTCTCGCGGGTTTGCGACTGCTTCTGGTCGCTTCTCGTGCTGTCGGTCGCCTGAGAGTATTGACCCTTCCTTCGTCATTATTCTGCCCGAGCTCGAAGCAGCACCGCAGCCCCCGCCCCCACATGGGAATCCCACCTGCAGGGCAGACGGCAAACCCGACCGACGACATTGAATACATGCTCCTTGCCCTCGTGCCGCCCTCTTGAGCCCGCCCGAGGACTGGCGCCGACTTATTCTGCGTCGCTCCGCGCAAAGCCATCGCTTTCGTTCTGACTCCCTCCCGGGCAAACCACAAGGCTTCAAACAGCAACCTCCGCAAGCACCCTCTGGCACCATGTGGAACGACGAGGACAACAACCCCTACGGCAACAGCTTTGACCGGCGGGACTCCTTTACTTCGTCTTCTATCAACCCATCTTCGCCCTCTACTCGCGACTGTGAGTCCATGATCACATTTTCTCCATCAGTCGCGCTCAAGGGACCCAGCCAACATGTTTACCGACATTCCGCTGTCTCCTCCTTGTGACCCTCCTGACCAACATGCTGATGACGATATCCTCGGCGACTGGGACGTATTAGATCCGCGCTTCGACCAACCCCATACGCCGTCCTCCGCTGGCGGCGATGCGCCTTCAAGGGCCGGCTTTGGCGCTGCGTCGGCCGCTAGCGACGACGGCGATAGCGATGATGACTACGTCCATGGCCGAGGCGAGCTAGTTCCCAGAAGGAAGCCAGGCGGCTACGACAGTCGTGTCGAACAGATCCTCTATGAAAATCCGGAGCTTCCAATTCTGATCACCGACGCTGGGAAGAGTCTCGAGAGCGGCGGGAGATACATAGTCTACACCATCCGGACCGGAGTATGTCTCAGTCACCGCCTGCTGCCCTCTGCGCGGGGACCATGCCGAAGCTAATACGTCTATCTGCAGGACCTTGACGTTAGGAGGCGGTATTCCGAATTTGCATCGCTCAGGGACGCTCTCACACGGCTTCATCCTACGCTCATCATACCTCCTATTCCCGAGAAGCACACCATGGCCGACTACGCCGCCAACCCCACAAACGCGAAGCAGGATCAGCAAATTATCGATCTGCGCAAGCGAATGTTGGCCGTGTTTCTCAACCGCTGCCGTCGCATGGAGCAAGTTCGGACGGATGGCGTTTGGTGGAGATTCCTGGATCCTAATGCTAGCTGGGTGAGCTTGCGTGCCGTCGAATTCTAGGCGGTGGCTGGCCGTCTTGTGTGCACAATTACTGACTCCGACGGACCAACAGAACGAGGTGCTGCACTCACACCCGGTTGCATCAATACCCAAGTCTATTCTCAAGGCGCCACCCCTAAATACACCCAATCCTAGCGCCGCCCACAGTTATCTTCCTATTCCTTCAAGCTCGGCCAAGCTGAAGGTTAGCTCCAACGGCGCGCATCCTGAACATGTTGTAAACGCATCTGCCGCTCAGTTTCGATTCCCTCCGGATGCTAGCAAGCTGAGCGAGCAGGACCTAGACCCCTACTTCAACTCGTTCGAGGCGTCCATAAAGGAGCTCGAGCAGCTGCTGGCAGGCCCGATGGAGAAGGTCAACCGGCGGACACTGAATCATCTGTCCTCTCTCGCGTCTGACCTCTCGGAGCTGGGCGCGAGGTACAACGCCTTTGCTCTCTCAGAACAGGCTCCATCGCTGGGCCCGGCCATCGAGAGGGTAGGCCAGGCAGCCGATTCATCATATATCGCAACAGAGGAGTTGTCCAGTTCTCTAGGCGCCAGCTTCGCCGAACCGATGCGGGAGAACGCGCAGTTCGCGGGTGTCGTGCGGAGTGTTCTTCGTTACCGCATCTTGAAGCGTGTGCAGCAAGAGATGACCAATGACGAGCTAGCGAAAAAGAGGGCGCTTCTGGACCAACTAGAGCGCAGCGAGGCCGAGGCGCGCCGGATCGACCAGTACCTGAGTGGCAGCCAGACGATCCAACCGAGGAGATCGACCAGCACTAGGGATGCGTCGGCTTCGTCGCCGCCATCAAAGCAACACCGACGCGACGGCAGCGTCGACGACACAGCGTCGATCGATTCCGACTTCCCACCCACTCACGGCGACATCTCATCGGCGCCATCCGCTAAAATCGGAGCGCCGGAGCGGGGCAGTGGCGGAAGCGGCGGTGGTGGCAACAGCCCAGGCCATAGGAAGGCTCCAAGCGGCAATTCCATCACCAACAAAATCTTCGGCCCGATCAGGCACGCAGTCCAGGGGGTTGTGGACCACGATCCGGAGCGGACACGACAGCAGACGATTGGGAAGACACGAGAGTCCATCAGTCAGCTGGAGCAAGCGCAGGTTGCTGTGGCTAAAGACGTCGAGGACGCGAGTGCGAGCGTGCTCAAGGATATGAAGAGGTTCCAGAGGGAGAAGGAGGACGACCTTAAGCGTTACATGGTAAGACATTCATACTTCCAGTCACCGCAGACGGGTACGCGCTAACAACAAAACGCCCGCAGCTTGCGTATGCCAGGTCCCAGATCGAATGGGCCAAGAAGAACAAGGAGACGTGGGAGGAGGCAAAGACGGAAATCAACAAGATCGACGAGTCGTAACGGCCAGAACCCGCGCGTCGGGGATGGCACCAAGTGTTTTGTTTGATTGGTTCTTGTCTGGAAAAACACAACTCACGTTCGGTTATTGGTGAATGATTATGCCGAATAATTCTTAATGCGCGGGATGTTGCGCTTCGAGATGGGGTCGCGGGAGGCTGGCAAAATTGCGGAGTAGGACGCACATTGTATCGACTGTCGCTATAGATGTCTGTTTCTATAGGTGTCTGTTGTTCGATGGGCAGGCTTGATGGTGACTTGCTGCAGCCGTGGGTCCTGTCACTGCCTATGTCTGAGGCGGGTAATGAAGTGCACTCACTCCTACAGCGCCTGGATAAGAAAATACATCTGGGTATCACTTCATGTTACGGACCGTCCTGTATGTTCCTTTTCTGAGGGCGCTTGAGGAGAAGGGCTATGTCTGTATGCAAGATGCAAATATCAGAGCCCTATGGTCTTCAGGTTCCAATCACGTTGAGTCCTCCCGAAAGCGCCAGATATTAACAAAGTGACATGGAAGCCTACATCTATTCTATTTCCTATTCTTTTTTCTTCCTGCAATGTGAAGTAGTTCTTGCCTTGGTCTGGAGAACGTTGGATGCTTCCTGCCATGCACCTTGAATCCCTGCAGGGACGGGAAAGTGGAGACTTTTTGGTGATAAGATAAAAGAAGCACCTAGGCACAGGGGACCAACAGCACAGCGCCGCCGTTGGAATGCGACACTCTGAATGCAGCTCTCCGAACCATCAACCGCACTAGTCTCCCCCGTTCTCGCACAACTCTTTCCGGCGCCCTGCAGCCTCGCCTGTTTGTGCCTCTGTTTTGGATCCGCTCCTCCAGTACCGACACACGCAGGTCCTGCAGACGAGCGACTCTCGCACGCAGGCGCAAACGCGACACCTCGACACCTCGACACCTCGACACCTCGACAGCCGAATCGAAGAACAAACGTGATCGCGGGTTTCTTGGGAGAAAATAAGTCAGAGACAGAACTTTTGGTTAGGGATCAAACACCGCTACGAGAATGGAGGACGGTCAGCCCATGGGCCCTCCGCCAGACGCCGATATTCAGTACCGGATCGACGACATCCACCAGCCCGGTCAAAATGTCGACGCGCCGACTAGGTACTGGGGCCCCGAGCCGCATATGAGGAACGACTCGCGCCCCTCGGACCAGCTGCGGAGGGACTTCGCCGCGCTCCTGGGCTGTCCTAACAGGCACGGCTTCCTGGGCGCGCAACCCGTCAGCTTTGCGAGGAGGAGCCTGGAAGAGCTGCGCAGAGAAGAGTGTGTTTGCCCCGTATCCCCTCCCGGGGCTTGTCGCGCAGACCTGGGGGCCTTTGTACTGACGCCATGGTGAAAAACGCAGCTACTTCGTGTGCGAAAAGTCGGACGGATGCCGCTACTTTCTCTGGGCCACGGTCGACGACCAGGGCGACGAGTGCCACTACCTGATCGACCGCAAGAACCAATACTGGCACGTCAAGAGGTTCGGTCTCCACTTCCCGCTGTCGGAGCATGACCCCAAGTCTTTCCATGCAGACTCGGTGTTTGACGGGGAGCTGGTCATGGACCGCGAGGTCGACGGCACATTTACCCCGCGCTTCCTCGTCTTCGACTGTCTGGTTCTGGGCCGCACGCGCCTCATGGAGCGGACGCTTGATAAGCGGCTTGCCTACTTCCAGGAGCGCGTAGACAAGCCGTACAAAGCGCTCCTGCGCATGCACCCGCAGGAGGTGCCCTTCCTGGCCTTCCTGGTCGAGCCCAAGGGGATGGAGTTCAGCTACGGCGTGCCCAAGCTGTTCCAGCAGATCCCCAAGTTGAAGCACGGCAACGACGGGCTGGTCTTCACGTGCCGCACCAGCCCCTACGTCTTCGGCACGGACCGGCACATCCTCAAGTGGAAGCCCCCGCACGAGAACACGATCGACTTCCGCATGTCGCTGCAGTTCGCGACGGTGCGCGACGAGGACACGGGCGAGTCGTACCTCGACTACGACTCGGTGCCGCAGACCATCGAGCTGACGGCGCACCGCGGCAGCAACCAGCCGCCCGAGCGGTACGGGAACCTGCACGTCACGGCCGAGGAGTGGGAGACGCTCAAGGGGCTGGGCGACCCGCTCAACGACCGCGTCGTCGAGTGCTACAAGGACGACGAGGGCCGCTGGCGCCTGCACCGCTTCCGCGACGACAAGCCCGAGGCCAACCACGTCAGCACCGTCGCCAAGGTGCTCGACAGCATCGATGACGGCGTCTCGGAGAACGACCTGATCGAGGCGTGCGACAGCATCAAGCGCGCGTGGAAGGAGAGGGAGGCCGCGCAGAGAGCGGCTATGCGGCGGTAGTTTGTCTCTGCCTTTAATCTTGATATTAATACTTTTTCTTCTTCTTTAATGTTGTTTCGTATCAGGCGTCGGGCTTCCTTCGTGGCGCACGCACAGTCTAGTCAGGGCTGGGAGCAATGGGTATGGTGGGTTTATGGAGTTGAGGGTCTGGTGATATCACCCTTGGGTATTGTTTTTTTTTTTTTTGCATTTTGGTCTGCATTCTGTAAGCGGTAGCAATTGCCAAGCAACGACTCAGTATGCTGCTAAACAGCGCAACAGGAAGAAGGCGTTTGGTGTTTTCGAGCCCATGCTGCCTCACATTCAAGGCGGCTGGCTATGTATCTCGTGAAGGTGTTCTTGCTTTAGCCTAGTTATCTCTACCTAGGTAGCTTTGATACTACTTCCCCTGTTTTCTAAAAAGGCCTCCCAAAAACAAACCGTGTCCCTAGAATTAAAAAAGTCCCTGAAACCCAAAGCCATATGGTTGGCGGTGAATCCGGGTCCTCCCGCGAGAAAGAAGTAGTATCAGTACAGGGTATATATCGACAAAACCAACGAACAAACCCCGGTTGTGTAATGAAGTTCAACAAAGCCGGCAATCCGGAAAAAATCAGACAAATCCCTTCTCTTTCCATGCTCTCTTCTCTTTCCATGCTCTCTTCTCTTTCCATGCTCTCTTCTCTTTCCACTTGTCCCGGGCCAATTGCAAGATACCTTCCCGAGATCCCATGTACCCCGTGGAGCTGTCAGATGAGAAAAAAAAAACGCCGTGATAGGAAGTGAAAAAGAAACTCGGATGAAGAACCAAACAGGAACTGATTAGTAGTGAACACCTGGAGAGATTTGGATGTCTGAAATTCCATATAATGTAGGGTCTCAATGATTCGAACTCTCCCAAACTTTCACCCAAGACAATGCAAGGGGACTGAGATGACGGAGCTCCATGGAGAAAATCCCTTGTTTGGAGACTTCAAGACGAAAACCAGGACCAATATCAACACACCCGCTTCCACGCCCCTTTGCGAATCAAGAAACCTGAAACCCCCGACACATCAAGACACCCCATGCTGCCAACAGAAGAAAGAGTAGCGGGCGGCTCAAATAAACGTGTATCCGGAGAGGTCAGATTAACGGTTCTGATGCAACCCAATGAGGGAAAATCAACAAGATGAGGATGATGATTGGATGGAGAGTTGAGTGCCAGCATGCTTCGATCTAGACGACCAGCGCAAGCGCAACCAGCATGACGACGCAGCCCATGACGGGCGTTCCGCCGCCACCGTTTCCGTTGCCGCCGCGACCCTGGGCCTTGTGGCCGGCGCCGCTGGCGACGACGCTGGTCCTGGGGCCCGGGGCGGCCAGCGAGATGGGCGAGCCAAAGACCGGGGTGCTGCCCGCGACGGCCAGGACGCCGGCGGTGCCGGAGCCGCGCACGACGGTGACGGTCGACGTCCTGGCGGTCGAGGAGGTGCCGTTGAGGAAGTAAGGGACGGTATTGCGGGCCGACGCGGCGGTGGCGGTGTTGTTATCGTGGTGGTGGTGCGTGGCGGTGCCGAGTGGGGGCAGCGTCACGGTCGTGACGTGGCTGTCCGGGCCGACGGTGAAGGTGTAGAGGCGCGTCGTGGTCATGGTGGTGGTCTGCGAGCTGCTGGTTGTCTGCGATGTGGTCGAGTCGCTGCTGCTGCTGCTGCTGCTGCTGCTGCTGTCGCTGGTGGCGCTGAGCCAGGTGGCGGTGGCCAGGGGCGGCACGTCGTGGGAGACAGGCATGACGGAGCTGGTCTCGGAGGAGGCGGTCACGGTCGTGGTGGTGGTCTCGCTGGAGAAGGGGTAGGGCTGGGCCACGGAGATGCTCTCGGTCGGGACGGTCTCAATCATGGTCACGGTGCCCTCCTCGACGGTGGTGTGGGCCGCGGCCAGCGACACGTAGACGGTCTGGGTGAAGGTGCTGTCGACGGTCTCGGTGTGGGGGACCCAGACGGTCTCGGTGTGCACGTGCGGCGTGCAGGCGCAGGCGGAGGTGGAGGAGCCCGAGAGCGCGTCGGCCGAGGACGTCTCGAGGACCGTGGACGAGCTCTCGTGCACGACCACCGTGGCGGACCGGGTCAGGTGGATGGTGGTGGCGCCCAAAGTCGTGGCGGTCGAGGTTGTGTCAGCAGTCGTGGAATCGCTGGTCTGGAACGTGTAGGGGCCCATGGAGATGGAGTGCTCCGAGGCGGTCTCGGCCGGGGTGCTGGTGGTGGTCAAGGTGGTGGTGGTGGTCTCCCAGTCCTCGGTGAACGTCTCGGCCGGGTCAATCCAGGGAGACGCAGTTGGCATGTCCCAGTTGTCGGTGTTGGAGAGCGTAACCACATCCTCGGCCTCGCTGGTGGTGAGCGTGGTCATCTTGGGCTGCGTCTCGGCAGTCTCGGTAGTGGAGATCGACTGAGCCACAGTCACAGTCGTGGAGAGGTCCACTGTGACCATGACGGTGTTGACGCTAGGGACGATGTTAACACGATGCTCGAGTACAAGATATGGCCCGCCGTCTAGGATAAAAACGGAGAAATATCCAAGACTTACTCGATTCCGAGAGCGCCGGCAGTAGAGTACATATCACCCTCCACAGCAGCCATAGCAGTGTCGTGGCGAGGAATCATACGGGTCATGGCATGGGCCTCGCTTAGGATGCTGTCATACTTCTCCGAGAGGGCATGGTACTTGTTCTCGCCTGTTTGATCAAAATGGTTAGAGACATCGCCGTAGCAAGGAGGACAGTTCTGATATTTCCACAGGCAGACTTACTCTGGTTCATCTTGACGCCAAGGGTAATGATTCCAGCGATAGACGCGACGAAGATGGTGCCTCCCAGAACAGCGAGAAGACGCTTCAGGCTGTGGCCACGCTTGGTAGTGGCGGCATGGGCAGTGGTCTTGGGATACTCGGGCTTTTGCTCCATGATGGGCGCGCCATGGGTGCCATCCTGGCGGGCCGCCATGTTGGGGTCGTTGACGACAGAAGACATTTCTGACGATCTTGTGTTGACGAACGAATGTGAGAAACGAGTGACTGCTGCGATGAAACGGGCTCAGGTTAGGACAACAAGGGGATTCCTTTCCAATAAAGTCAAGAGCGGCGAGCGAGCGTGCCAAGTTGAGCCTCAATGAATGCCGATCTCCCCTTGACGCAATGGAGCGAGGGTGTAGGGGATTTAGTGGGTGGGAGGTTCTTGAGCGGGTGGGAGATTGATTAGGGTAGAGAGCGTGGCTGCTGGTCGGAAAGTTGGGGCGAAACAGGTACGGTGCGACGGCGCGGTAATGAAAGGCAGGGCAAGGTAACAGCAGATTTCGGGCTGTGCGACGTGCCGACTGCTGATATCTTGTTCTGGTTCACAGTTGTGGGATGAGGAGATGGAGTGTTTTGGGGAGGGCGATGGAAACATGGTTGCAAGAGACGAAGGCTGGTGATACCTGGGTGTAACCTCGCCGAGGATTGTTTGCGTGCTGGAACAGGACACGGGACTCGACTTGACCTGCGTCTTTCCAGATGGAGTGGTGATGATAATGATAAACCAAGGAAAGCAAGAGGCTGGAGTAGGCATTGAAGAGGATGGGGGTGGCCAAGGCGGGCGATCGTGGCGGCTCGTGGAACTTACCTGGATATCTGTAACGAGTGTGCGATCAAAAGCTCGCGGAAAGGGACAGATGGCGATGCCAACAGCGAGAAGCTGTAGTGGGATCTGTTTGCTTTGCGTTTCCGGTATGCTTGGGGATGATCAGGATCACGATCGAGGAGCTCGACTTGATGGTGGTGATGTTGTATCGGTGGGGACTGGGAGGAGGCAGACGCGTGCTTGGCATAAATATTGGTGGGTGGTGTGGGAAACCACCTGGGGCTGATTACGAAAACCACGGCCGTTGCTGCAGCAAAGCGGCAGAATTTTCCAAGCGAGGTCCAATGAGGGAGGAGGAGGGGCTGGAGCCGCATGGCCAGGAGAGGTTGACGCGTCGGGGGAAGGCAAGCGGTGGTGGCCGTCACCCCTGAATCACATCCGGCTCACTTTACGGACAGTCGACTTCGGACGGGAACCGCCCCGAGGACTGGCATACCGGTGGGCCTGGCGCCACGGGGCTGGCGGCAGGGGGTCGAGCAAATAGTGCTCTGGAGTACGTAAAGATGCAAAGTTAGTGATATTAAACAGCTTGGCCGGGCCAGGGGATACGATCAAGCAAACCAGCCGTTGCTCATGTGTGGACTACCGCTCGCGGCAAAGCTCACCGTTCTAGGATTCCACTTGAGCTTGCACAAAAGCCAACGCCGACGATGCTGTCGGTTGGTCTCGCTCCCATCCCCGGTTATCTAGCTGGATATAGCTACCTACTCTTCTTTCTCTTTCTCTCTTAACTATGCGACGAGGTTGTTTTGGTTCCTTCCATCACGCGCAGCTTTCTCTTTCTCTCTCTTCTCGCTCCACAGCCGTGCTTTCTAATTTTCTCGGGCGACCATATGGTAGCTCAGGTCTGGTTTGTGGTGCACGTCACTCGTGGATCTTATGCTTGGCAGATATCAAGCCTAGATTTCTGATGGTATCTCCTCCGTGGTTTTAGTTCGGATTCAGCGCTTTATGTGTCTGGCTAGATACTTTTAAGTCGTATAGGTACAGCACTATTGAATGGACCTTTTCCAACCTGTCGGCCTCGGGCTGATGGCTTCGCTCAGCCTCTGCGGTGGCCCATGGTGCCTGATGCAGAGAGGAGACTGATCGTGCCTGTTTTATATATAGCACCAAAGAGTCACTGGATTTCTAGACCGTGCTCCTTTCCACCAGCCAGCCAGACTAAAAGCGTTCGCTGTTATTCAAAAGTTCAGACCACGGCTTAGATGCGGCTCCAAAGGGTGTGGTTGAGAGGAGAATCCAAATAAGGAAGGTGGGTCGCGGTCAAGGAACGCCTAGTTGCGACCAAATATGGGGCGGAAAATTTAGGCGCTAAGGAGAGCTACTTTCCCGAAAGGGCTTAGCGCCATAGGAAGCTAGAGCACGGGCCATTCAGGTTCTCCCAATTGAAGGGCGCGGGTGCTCAATTAGCGGGACCGTCGCAGACCAGACAGCGCCAGCGCTGGGAGCCGTGGTCGCTGCTGCAGCCTGGCACGCTGAAATCAATTCTGGGCCAAGTCGCGTTCCGCAGCCCCCATCACCGCCCAAAATAATCCCCAGTCTGATTATCAACCTTCATTTTCCCGCCCCGTCCAGACTTCGTTTCGATCTATCGCTGCATGACCGCTCTCGCCTGCATTCGCCCATGTTTTCTCGCCAGCCCAGCCTATCCTGCGCAATAGACGATCTTTCCCATTGACTGCGAACCGCGCGCCGCACGCGACCTGCATCCTGAATGACGGCGCCCTCCCAGGCCTCAATTTCTTGGCCCTAGCCCGTCCCCTCGTCGCGAGCGCGTCCCCCCTCTCCCCTTTGCGCCTCGGAGCTCGGAGATTGCCCCGCCTCCGACCAACGCAGTCCTCTACTTGCAGCACATCAAAACAGAAAAGGGCATTGTCGCAGCCATGGCGCCAACGCGCCGGAGTGCGGCGGCTGCCGCCGTCGAGGAGGAGTCGGAACCCGAAGAGGGACTTGTCAGACTCAAGTTCGACCAGTCATTGACTTGGAGGGCCGGGAAGCCCATCCAAACCGGCGAGCTGCACCGCCGGCTCGACACGCTCTCCAAGGAGCTATCCGAGCTGGAGCAGGAGACGACGGACAAGGACTCGTTGACCAAGGTCGCCAAGGAGCTGGTCTCACACAACCTGCTCACCCACAAAGACAAGGGCGTCAAGGCCTTCGTCGCGTGCTGCCTCGTCGATGTTCTTCGGGTCTGCGCGCCGAACGCGCCCTTCACGCCAGCCCAGCTCAAGGTAGAAAAGACCCCAGATCGGCCTTGCGCAATGCTCGGCCTATTGCGGTCCTCGCGGCTGATGCTTCAGTGATGCTGACTGGATACACCATCCCAGGATGTCTTCAACCTTTTTATCACGTCCATATTCCCCGCACTCCAGGACCCGAGCCACACGTACAACACTCAGCACAAGTATGTGCTCAGCTCGCTCGCCGAGGTCCAGAGCATCGTCCTGCTCAACGACATCGACAACAACGAGGCCCTACTCCTCCACCTCTTCTCCACCTTTTTCGACGCCGTCTCTGGCCCCAAGTCCGCGTCTGGGGAGCGGATATCGAAGGATGTGGAGCTCCACATGGTGGATGTGCTTGTGACTGTCATCGACGAGGGTACGAGCCTGCCAGGGAAGGTCGTCGATGTCATCATGGCGCAGTTCTTGCGAGCTGCGGCCCCTGTGGGTGGCGCCAAGGACAGGTCCGGGGTGGACGAGGGCCAATCCACTCTTCTGCTCAAGACCGAGCCTGAGGCCTACCAGATGGCGAAGCAGGTGTGCAACAGCTGTCCGGACAAGATGGCGCGCTTTGTAGCCCAGTACTTTGGCGACGTAATCATGGACGTGACCAACCTTGGCGGAAGGTCCAACGGGCACAAGGGCGGCGACGAGTCTGAGGAGGAGGAGGCTGCCGGCGGCCCGTCAGAGGCTGACCTCAAGGAGCTGAGGAAAGCCCACCAGCTCCTCAGGGAGCTGTGGAGGGCGTGCCCGTTGATTCTCCCCAACGTCATAGCTCAAGTCGACGCGGAGCTCAATGCTGAGAACCTTCACCTGCGCCAGCTGGCGACTGAGACTCTGGGAGACATGATTTCGGGCATAGGTGCGGCGGGCCCGCCGCCCCCTCCCATTATCGACCCTGCGGCATATCCAACCCCTACTTTGGCGGATGTGGACCTGGAAAGCGACTCGACGCCTCCGGCAAACGTTTTGACCGCTCCCCTCTCCCCTCAGTCGTTTCCTCAGACGCACCCCTCGGTATTCCACAACTTTGTCAACAGGAAGAACGACAAGAGCCCTGCCGTCCGCGCCGCCTGGACAACCGCAGTTGGTTACATCCTCTCGACCTCGGCGGGAGGGGTCGGTCTTAGCCGAGACGAGGAGTCGTTGTTGGTCAAGGGGTTGGCTGAGAAGATCGGGGACAGCGATGACAGGGTGCGTCTGGCCTCCATCAGAGCTATCGAGTGCTTCAGCTTCCGCGAGGTCATCAGAAAGCTCGCGCCCGACGGAAGCGTCACCAAGGAGGGGTCGGTTCTCGGGAACTTGGGAGACCGAATCCGTGATCGCAAGTCCACGGTCAGGGTTGAAGCCATGACCCTGCTGGGCAAGCTATGGGCTGCGTGCACTGGGGAACTGGTTTCAAACCCGGAAACGGTCTCAGCACTGGCTGGAATCCCCAATCGCATCTTCAGCCTCGTGTACGTGAACGACCCGGAGATCAACAAGCTCCTGGACCGGGTGCGGTTCGAGGTTCTTGTTCCGCTGTCTTTCCCAAACGTGCCAAAGAACCCTAGCAAGACTACCAACGGCGGGTCCCAGGGGCAGTCCCAGACACAACCTGCTTTCGATGCAGACGCCATCAGGGCGCATCGGATCCTACTGATGGGCGACTCGATGGATACCAACAACAAGAAGGCGTTTTTGTCTCTTCAGAACCGCCAGGCTCAGTTTGCCGACTTTGTTGACAAGTTTGTGGACACATGCGAGGAGTACAACGGCGGCGTCGGATCCGGCGACAAGGCCAAGCTGGCGGCCAAGAAGGTGGCCAGCAGTATCACCTATCTGACCCAATTCTTCCCTGACGAGGTCAAGGTCAAGGAGGACCTCCACAAGTTTGCCAAGGCCAATGACCGCCGCAGCTACTCGCTAATCAAATACGCCACCAGCCGCGAGTCCGACTTCAAGACGGTGCACAGGGCCCTCAAGGAGCTGTCGAAGCGGTACAAGGCCCAGCCGTCGCTTGCGGACACAGTCCTGACCCTGCTATTGCGCTGCGCCAACATCATGTACAACAAGAGCCACCTGTCGACCTTCCTGGAGTACTCCAAGACCGACCAAGATGGCTTGTCTGCAATCGCGCACGAGATCCTCAACGAGATCTCGCAAAAGAACCCAACCCTGTTCAAGACCCATATCGGGTCGCTGTGCAAGGACTTGCAGGATGAAGCGCCCACGGCCAATAAACCAAACGAGCCAATTGTTGTCGAGACGCTCAAGGCATGCGCCTCTTTCGCGGTCAAGTACCCAAAGGATATCCCCAGTGACAACAGTTTCAACCAGACACTGGTGAACTATGCTCTTTACGGGAAACCGCCAAAGGCAGCAAAGTACGCAGTCAACGTCCTGCTTACGCGCGCAGACGACAAGGGCATGGTGGCTGCCACCGGTCTCCTCCAAAAGATCATGAAGGACTTTGGGTACGGAGCGCCCCACTTTCTCAACAAGCTGGCCGCCATCTGCCAACTGGGACTACTTGCCCCGAAGGTAGCAGACGATTATGAGGATACTATTCTTGGCATGGCCTTGGAGCAGGTGCTCAAGAAAGTTCGCACCACGGAGCCAGCTCCGGAAGGAGGCTGGGTCGAGGATGCAGACATGGATGAGGAGTGCCAGGCCAAGCTGCTCTCGGTAAAAATACTGGCCAACCGGCTAAGATCCGTTTCTGACATCGAGACGGCAAGGAAGAACTCGGAGACGGTGCTCAAACTCCTGAGGGAGCTTGTCACCAAGGAGGGCGAGGTCTGCAAGGAAAAGCCGACGCCAATCCACCACAGGAAACGGCTGCGGCTGCTCGCAGCACAGCTCATGCTGAAGATCGCCACCAAATTCGACGACCTGGTGTCACCCTCGGACTTTAACAGACTCGCAGAGGTGGCCCAGGACGTCTCGGGCCACGTCAGGCGTCGCTTCATCGAGAAACTGCAGAAATATCTCTCTCTCGGGAAGCTGCGGGCACGATTCTATACCATCATATTCATGACAGCCTACGAGCCGAGCGAGCAGTTCAGGAGCGACATAGAGATCTGGATCCGATCTCGTGTGCGGCACCTCCAGGAGTCCAATGCCGCCGGGCTGGACTCGGTTCTGCCGCGTCTCATATCCCTCCTTGCCCACCACCCTGATTTCGACTTGGATCTAGACAGCCTCGTCAGCCAGGGGCACTACATGCTGTTCTACATCAGCAACGTCGCGACAGAGTCCAATCTAGGCCTCATCCAGAAGTACGCCGAGCGAACCAAGCAGGTTTATGATGGCATAGATGAGGAAAAGAGCGAGAACATCTACGTTTTGTGCGACCTTGCGCTCGCCGTCATCAAGGCGTGGCAAGAGAAGAGAGGCTGGACGTCAGTGCCATACCCCGGTAAGGTTGGTCTGCCGAAGGGACTATTCAAGGGACTGCCGTCCCACGACGCCGCTCAGCGCATTGCAGACAAGCAGTGGATTCCCGATGGCGTTGACGAGAAGATTGAAGACCTGATCAGGTCAATCGACCGGAAAAAGGTATGTCCGGTTGTCAGACTCCGTGCGTCGATGCGTCGGTATACTAACATGCATACAGAAGCGCAAGCATGACGATCGCACCGATCAACAGAACCCCGCGAAGAAGGCCAGACCGACAAAGTCGTCTCATCCAAAGGAACGGAAGACACCAAAACCTTCCAAGAAGTCGTCTTCTTCTAGGTCGAGACCTTCAAAGCCCAAGAAGGTGCCCGCTTCATCCTCATCACCAGTGCCAGACTCTGAACGCCGCCGAAGCGGGCGTTCGCGGCTTAGTAAGTCGTATATGGAGCGTGACTCATCTGAGGACGACGAGGAGATGCTCGAAGGTGTTGCAGAATGGGACTACGAGAGCGGCAGCGACGCAGAGGGTCCCCGGCCACGCGAAACCAAACGTCAGGCTGCGGCGGACTCGGATGGCTCTGGGTCGCCCTTGAGCTCACCAGAGCCCATGGAAGAGGACGAGAAGGAGGAGGAGAAGCAAGATAATTCCGAGGAGGAAACCACCGCCGCTAATGACGAGGGTGCCGACGCCGACGAAGAGGACCAGGGCGGTGACGAGGATAGAGAGGAAGAGGAGGAGGAGACGGTCAGGCCAACGAGGTCGAACGGGAGGAGGGCAGCGGCGTCCAGGTCGGCCAAGGCAACGCCTAAGAAGCCGGCCAGCACAGAAAAGTCTGGAGCTAAGGCGACGGCAGGGACGACGACGAGACTGGCGACGAGGTCCAAGCCGAGGACGAGGCAAAGGGAGGCGGACAACATGGAGGACGACAGCGACGAATAGTGTGTGTGCGAACTGCGAACTGCGAATACCTTTTTTTTTTTTTAACCTGTCTCTTGTCTATCTTCTAGCCAAAATGGCTCTGGATATAAACCACACTTTTTCTCACTGCGTCAATGCAGGGCAACGTTTTCGGGCTGGGAGGGTTTCTAATCATGCGCGTCAGTCGCGCTTGTTGTTTGACCTGGCGAGCGGGCTGCGGGGAGGTCCTGTATATTTCATGTTGTATGTTCAATACCGCCTCTACAAGTTTCTCAATTGCCGGCCGGTCTCCGTATTTTTGGCACTGGCCGCGTTGTCGTTTTTCCACCATCAAGCACGAGACGCGAATGCCATGACATGGATGCCCGCTTCATTCAGATTGCACGTCTCTATTTGACAGACATGATAAGCAAGCAGGGTGGTCCGCCATTCACGTCTTACTTAATATACACATAACATATCTACACTTGTGGCCTACGGGCGCATGTAGCGAACTCTAGCCGGCGATGTTATATCAAGCCAAGGCTCATACTTGTATGGTCCCGGATTCATCCTTTCTTGCTGTCTCGTACCTGTGTGAGGGGATTTGTTATCGGTTAGTCACTGGTGTACACACAACGTGAGTAAACGGCCTCCAACCCTCAAAACGTACCTCTTTCCGCGGAAGGCCCAGACGCCCCAGTTGCCGCAGTTGACGTCTTGGGGGTCGAGGTCGTTGAGGTCCCAGCGCAGGCTGCGGAAGGTGTTCTCGCCGGGCTCCATGAGGATGTCGAACTCGCCGGCGGCGGTGCGGTGGACCCAGTCGATGTCGCGCTCCATGTCGCGGCTGGTGTAGCCCGTGCAGATTATGGGGGGCCTTGGTCTCGAGCAGCATGGGCACCGTCTCGGCCCACTCGTGGGCCGTGGCCGGGTGGCCGAGGCCCGGGTGGAAGAGAACGAAGCAGTCGAAGTAGGGGTCGTGCGGGTGGAAGAGGCCGGTGCGGTGGATGGTGTGCCAGTAGTCCACCATGGTGCTGATCTTCATACTGTGCCAGACCCGATCCTCGACCACGGCGCCGAAGGGGTTCTCGGGCGTCCGGGCCGGGAGCGGGAACTCGTCGTCCCGGTTCGCCATGCTCTCCGGGCCGACGAAGACGAGGTGCAGACGCGCGCCGGGGAACAGGTGCGACAGCTGTACCCAGACGTTGCGGGGCAGCGACGACTCGGCGCGCGCGCCCAGGATGAAGATGCGCACGGCGGGGGCCTCGCGCCGCAGGCCCTTGATGGTGGTGTCGCCTCCCGTCTTGGGCGGGTGGAGCGTGTAGCGCAAGGCTTG